CTGTCTCCTTGGAAGCGAGCCCATGAATACGTCCATAAAACCAGAAAGTGTCGCTGATGGTAAACTCGTTGTATAAGGCCAGGTCCTGCAAAAGACAACGTAATAAAAGATGAGAGAAGCTACCTGGGCTAGTGTAGAGTTTCTACCTGACCAGTGTGTGGACTCGTGCCGGTCCATGGCAGCCTCCTTGCATGAAATTTCATTCAAAATGTGAGGAATAATAGAGGAGAAAAAGTGTTTCATATTTTTGTGAACATGAGATTTCACTAAATCCCACATGCTGCTCAAAGAAACCTTATGTTTTGTTCAGTAAGCTCAGCTCCAGTATGGAACATGACTCCACTCCCACTGCTATCAGACAGATGCAGACCCTACTTAAGGTCCATGTTTGCATCCAGAATGTTCACAAAATGACCAAGCCTGCTGTAAAATGACAGTTTTGAACTGATAATGCTACTATTTTGTTCACTCACATGACACCAAACTGAAAAGGCCAGCTCCTTTTTTCTAAGGAAATTTAAATTTCACTGTTCTTATCTAACTAGTACATACCATCTACTTTTTATTTAAGTATGGGTAAAGTAAGAATAACTATGTATACTATGGGTTCTTTCTTAGAAGCTGATGCTTACATTTTATTCTAGAATATACCACACATATTTAAGCATTGTCTAAATTAGCCTTGCCTCCAGGATCTTGTTAAAATTACGATATTACAGTACTTAACTTATTTATATTGCTGCTTGAAAAGTGAAACTTCATTAGCTACATATTTTTGTAAATCATACAACACATTTTAAGCATTATCAAAGTATACAGGGAGATCGGATTTGTACGCAATGAGCAACAAAGTGTACCCCTTAGATTAGACATTAGATCAAGTGGGTCCCCTCTTAAATATAAAGCGATTTGTTGATCCTTTGGGATGAAAAGCACGATATAAATGATTGATTTCCAGGTATACTGTATGGCAGGAATTCTTTTGGTTTGCAAAGTACAATGCTGAGCAGAGTGTTTAGTATGATGATAAAACTATTTTTTAAATTCCTGTAAATTAAACTACCTACTGCAGTTACACAGTATATTGCTATCCAGATACTGTATATGTATAATGCTAACGATAAAACAACAGGCACAAATGGCCTAGACCTCAATAAACCAAGCTTTCTGCGACAGATTAAGAAGGCAAACAAGCGCTCCCTGGCATTAAACAGGTGTTTTATGAAGGATTGATAATAAGTATACATTAGTTACAGTGTTGTACTG